AGAGGAGAACCCACAGTGATGATTCCTTGTCGTCTACCAGGGTGTGCGAGGTCCCATAAGAAGCCAAAAGGCGCGCAGACATGAACTGCCAGGTACCCTAGAAGATGAGGGAATAAGGGAAGAGGGTTGTGACAATTGCGTAGAAAACTTACGGTTCGGCATATGCCTTTTTCGCCACGTCTGTCGGTAAGAATAATGCAATGATCCCAGTCAATGAGGAACCCTTGATGATTTGGGGTGATCATAATGTTTCTGACACTAGTATCGCGATGCAGAATGCATGCCCTATCGAACGCCGCCTGGTGAGCTATGTGCAACAATAAAATGGTTAGATCAGAAGAAATGCACAAGGAAGGATGTAACATACCTTCCATGGCATCCGCGATACAGGGTCACAAGGTCTTTGATATAGCAGAAAGTCATCAGATCTCTTCGGATGATTTTCAAGAAAATCCGGTGGCCCCGCAATGTCGGGAGGCAGTCGACCTCGTCGTCAGTGGGTCTGTGAGCCAACGACCCTTGTACATGTTCCTGCGTGATCGTGGTCGTGTCGGCGACATCTCCCCCAGTCTCCATCTCAGCTATGTGTGGAACTCGGTGCGGGGCTAAGATGGTAGATATCCGATTCCTTCGCAATCTGAGGTGACTCTTCACGCCAGTAGTCCTGCATAAACAATAGCCCTGCACGAGACTTAGCAGGATCACGGAGATCAGGACTATCCGGATCGATAGCGAGAGACCTACGTGTCGATCGCCCAAAGGGCGAGAACGCGCCATCATCGAACTTGGGAGCACACACCACGAATTGCTGAGGCTTACCATCGAGGGTCACATCCATGCAGAACAGCTTCTGGTCCTCGATATTCATCTCTCGCTTCTCCCTACGCCCCGGTTTACCATGTCATATATCCATATCGTACAGGCCGACTTTAGCTCGAGCAAGCACGGCATAGGGGTCGCCATCAGCAATGAGAGAAACAGCAGTGTCTTTCCCTCGTTGGCTAGGTATCAACTGGGGGAATCGCTTGTAAAAGTTGAAGATCAAGGTCGTTTCCTCAGTGTAGTCAAACCTCTTGCTGACGACGGCCCCGGATCGGTCCCAGCGTATGAATCGCGCGAAGCGGCCACATATCAGAGTCGGGAAGAAGTGAGAGCGGTATTGGAACATTATCGTGACACCGGCATGGCAGGCTATTTGCCCGCGTGTCTCGCGTCCCTTGACGGAGTTGTTCTCAGAAGGAAAAACGGGTTGCTTAATGGAGCCGACTGCGTAGGTTCTGCAACGTCATCCGATACCGCATCAGCGACGCTGATATCTTCCTCTTTCTTCCTCTCCCTCCGATTTATCGTCTTCATCATCATTATCCGCCTCCCCTTTATCCTCCCCCTCCTCCTCCTCTACCGGGGACGCGTCGTCTTCCAAGTCAACGAAAGCATCGTAATTATCGTGGGCCTTCAGCTTGGTCTGCGTCTCCATGAGCGAGTGATCGGCGGTCCGGCCTTCAGGCATATTGTCCGCGTCGTACACTCCGATATCGACTGCAAGATTATCAAATTTTGCGTCTCGGTCACGGAATTTTCCAAACTTGGGGCATATAGACAAGTAGCCAGGTGTCTCTATACTTAGCGACACTGGCTATTTATTAAGAGCCTTGACCTGAGCACGAGTAGTCAGTAGATGAAGAACACAGGAAATAGCACAACGACGGCCATATTTCCTGTACATGTAAGGCTCACGAAGGCCTTCCATAGAAGCGAGCAACTTCCTCTTGGACTTGCCTGGTTGCTTCCGCCTGTAGCTGTCAGGAGTAGTATCGTTCCAGGGCATGTACTACTTCAGGAAAGCTTTCGCTGAAGGACCAGAGACAAAATGACCGCCTCCTTTGGCAGCGATATCCCTATGTGTGTGTCGAATTTACGGCGTGTCAACAGAGAATTTTAGATGCCTTTGGGCTTTGTTGACAACGAGAGTGTGGTCCATGCTGTATTCAGGGAGGCGAGGGCGGTTCAGAGGAGGAATGCGACGGTGTCGGTGGTGGCGGAGTCAGCTGGCGACTGAGATGGTGGATCGTTGGTAAGGTCTACCATGGAGAGAAGTATGTGAACGGCACGAATCCGTCAAGATATAATAATGCGAATGATGACAGGAAGAATCGCCGCCAAGCCAACGCGAACAACAATTATCCATTGCAATAAAGGGGAATTACCTAAATAGAACAGTAGTTAGTTCTTTGTCGCGTTCTCTTCCTTGTATAACGAATGGTTCCGCACAATAGGTGGCGTCGTGGATGTTCAAGTTCAGGTTGGCGTTTTCAAAGTCCGACCACGTGTTCGCGTTGCCTTATCACATGCTGACGCGACCGACCTGAATTTGGATTGAATAACTACATCACTGCTGGGGCATGTCAGTGTTTATGCCCGAAAGACAGCTCATAAACACCGGCATGTTCATTTGTACAGGCCGAAAATTTCCCCAGCAACTGTGGCGCTGGAGCTGTGGGAAAGATGGTAGCTTCTTCACACAGCTGGTTGCGTGATAATATTTCGAAACGGTAGGGGGAGAACTATGATTCGTAATTGTCAACTGTTACTGAGTCGGAGAGATTACCCGCGCATGCTATATCGAAAGACGTGAAAACACGACTCCTGTAAAACAGGATGTTCACAACGCCAGAATGTAGACGGTCTGCATTGATACGAACTGGAGAGCTTCGTACTTCCTTTACGGAAGAACCTGCTTTCGTACAGGTGGAAGTCTCATGTACGTCAGATGCTGAAAAGCGACAATGGAAGTAAACATCATGTAGAGGGGCTGAATATCCCGAAGTAATGGTAGTTATACAGTCGTGAGAGTACCCGAGTGTTAAAGAAAGCGAATAGATATAGGATAACAATCAAAGCAGAGCATAGCTGTTCAGAGATCAGATGGGGTGAAGAAGGGACAAAGAGAGACAAGCGTACAAGACTAGTGAAATGTGTTGGAAGGCACATAGGGAGTACCAGAGATAGGACACGACCGGGAAAGGAAGAGAAGAGAGCAGCCAGGTCATGTATAACCAGAGGATGAAGTTCAGAGTAACGTTGCACTCGCAAGACTGGTCCGAAGGATAACACTAAACAGAGAAGGCGTAAATGCGATAGAAAAATATTAAGCATACGTCAGAAGTGATGAAGAAACAAGGTGAGACGCAACAGAACGGGCGAAATGGTACTCACTCTGAAGGGGCAGATTTCGATGATCAATGTTTATCATTTATAAAAATTAAAGTAAACAGCGTACCTTTCACAGTGAACATTACAAGCCGAAGCGTAGTGATATCAGTCGCTGTGATTACACTAAAATATATGCATAAGTACCAAACAATGAAAACCATGTTAAACGCACTGAATATGGATCTCCCTCTCCGTGTTCCGACCAGTATTAGTGGCCAGTTTCGAAAAGCGACGCTTGAAGTAATCACGACCTGCACGGGCATCGCCTGGCTCACCATCAAAGTCCTGAAAGATACATCAGAGAAGGCTATGCAGACGCGCGGGAGAACATCACAGACCGCGAAGAAGTCTTTGATATCAGAGTGAGGTATCTTCTTTTCGAAGAGGTCATATTTGTTCAAAAATAAGATCTAAGCACAAACCAATATAAGCCTCAGTCGTTGCAGACGAGTTGGACAGTCTACGTACAATCGAAGTGTGCTTGAACCAATGCGATCGGCATATCGCTTCCCATACGGTCATCGCATCCTGCATTTGATTCTATCAGATTGCATCAGAGAGGTGATTTGCCGAGTCATCACGATAAATCACACACCGCATCGTTGTCCTCGACCAGACACTGGTCATAGCCATTTAGGCTGATGAAGAACAAGATACTCGTCACGTCCTGGAAGCAGTGTATCCACTTTCTACGCTCAGACCTTTGGCCACCGACATCAATAATCGTGACCTCGCGTTCCCAAAGATGAAAGACTGTTTCCGTGATCCCAATCGTCCGAACACGGCATTGCATGATATCTTGTTCAGTTGGCTGATACCGAGGGTCAAACAACCTATCAAGATCCGAGAATAAATACCCCAAACTACGCCCTGTAAGAGTGGCGTAACGAAGAACGGGGGATGGAAGACTCACTTTTCAGGCAAGGCTGCTTCGTTCCCTCTCTGCCAAGCTTTCTGAACATCAGGATCACCCCATAGTGCCTTGAGTGACTCATAGTACCGTCTCGGGAATAGCTCACCATCCCTCACATGAGGCCAGTACATGAATTCGATATATTTTATGTTAGCATCTGAAACCCTCAGATTCATGTCTTCCATCGCGTAGAGGATACACCTCATTCCATCGACAAGATTGTCAAGCGTCATCTGCCGATAGTATTCGATGTCTTGCTGAGAGAATGGAATGTTGCAGATAAGGCGCATTTGCTGTCCGAGTCGCAACGGATGAATATTGTATAGTACAAAGTTAGTAGAAGCGCACCTTTAGCAAAGTTGTCTTCCCAGAATCCCCAGATCCCAAAAGCAGAACCTGTATATGATACGTGAGCAAATAAGTTCGGAGCATCGTACCGTATACATGTACCTTGACTTGTGCTGCCATCTTCGCCTTGGCCTGGCAGTCAGGTTGATTAGTACTGAACGTGCGCCAAGTTCACGAGCAAACACACCTTCTCGAGCTCCTCCTCGGCTTTCCTATGCAAGACCTCGTCTGCATCCGTGACCTCATAACATCGGGAGGACGAGCGTATGCCCATTGCATCGATATGGGGAGGGTAAACACTGGTGAAAGAGCACAAACACGACTAAGCGCCGAGTTCCAGTGAGAATAGAATAGGTACATGGCAGTGGTGCTTACCAAGACTTGGCGTCAATTATTTTTGTGACAATCTAGCTTCTGATCAACTTACGTGAGACCGTCCTGCTTTGGTTTACTCTTCCCTCCGAGTAACGACGGTCCCATCACGCGGCAACTCCCGGGATCAATTGTTGTCACAGCTGCAAAGACGTTTCCCGTCCCTGCGACCGTCTCCACGATCTGTTTGGCTCCCTCCCCTACTGCCTCCGCGGAGGTCTTGGCCCTTTCTCTTTTCCCTCCGGGTGGGTTGACACAAATATGTCGCCCATCTCATTTGACGTCTTTCGTCGATGAGATTTTTGTGTTCGTGCGTGTGGGTGGATTCCAATGGTTGACACGGTTGACACGAATGTGTCGCTGTGTCCGTTTGACGTCCTTCGTCGGCGGATTGGTGAGAGTTCGTGACTGTGGCGTGATGTCTTTTGTCGGGGAGCGCTGCTTTTGTTCGCTCGCTCGATGCTCGCTCGATTTTTGCTCGCTTGCTCGTTTTTGGGTTTGGGTTTGGAGACATTGTACTCCTCCCATTTTCCCTTTCTCTCTCCAGATCGTGTCTCTCTCTACACCCCTGACTAAACCCAGACATTTTGCTGCCAGGGTTAACGACGACGCCACCGATCATGGCCTTCGTCTCGCTGCTTGTCTCGCAGGGTCCTTTGTCGGCATCCTCGTCCTTGCTTTCTTCTTCATTAGGAGGAGGCGACTTGTTCAACGGCAGCGACGCGCATCCACCAACACACTCAGACTCATCATGGATTCTTTTCCACTGCCTCCAAACATGCTGCCGCCAGAGCAGCAGCAGCGATATGTCTTCCCTTGCCCTCGTCAAGATGGCCCTAATAAAAATTGGCTTGATGAGAACAGCAATTTTCAAATGGAGGAAATTGACCTGTATGTTGTTCCTGTTTGCTGGTCTTGCTTTGACTGATGCCATTCCCCAGGTCTCTTACACACAAGGTCCCCTGGTTTGCAGAACTTTGCCAGCATTTCGGACTCGCACATACGGGCAACAAAACGACGCTTCGTGAGCAGCTTGTGAAGTTCAGCCAAGCCGGGATGGAAAAGTGGAAGGCAAAGTACGTTCATTCATGCCATACACAGATGCGAGCTCATCTCCCTCTCCTCTCACAGTATTCTCACTCCGACGCGTATTCCTCACAAGGGAGTGAGGGTGGTGAGGGATGGTGCTATTACGAAGAGGAAGCTGACACGTCGAGCAACCCGCATTCATGAGGTGAGCATACCGGTGAGCAACCCTCAAAGAGTACTCCTCCCTACGTCAAGATTCGAGGATACTCGTAGCCAGGCCAAGATAGATGGCTTCATACCTTGGGTGAGTCCGTTTTTGTTCCTGTTCATGCTTGGTTTGTTGATTGCGTTTTCAGGCTGAAGTTCTTATGGTCAAGATAGCGAAAGAAGAAGAACGTGCACAGAATCTCCGCAATACCCATCTCCCAGAACCTGGGGTCAACAGTGTCCACAATCACAGCACGCAAAAGCCTGGTATGGTACGTGTCATTACTTTTCACTGTTGATTCGACCTGACAGCCATCTCCAATGCACAGAATCCTTTTGCGAGCCCTGACTTTGTCCAGTGTGTTGCCTCTATCGTCGAGGAGCGGTTGGCTGCTCATCAAAACTCCTCCCCCTCATCCTTGTCTTCGACTGTATCACCTGAAACCCCCTGTCCCTCCATAGATTTCGACTCAACCATTATGGGGCTCACTGCAAGTTCGACTGAAGTCTTCTCTGGTATTGTGGACCGACCAGACTCACCGATCCTACCACCCTTTGAGCCCATGCAGATGACTTCACCATCCATGCTGCTCTCTCCACCTGCTCTGCCGATGTCTGAACTCGACAGGAATGCTCCAGTATTATCTGATGATACTGCCATCAACCCAATTCAGTGCTTGTTGGTCTTTGCTGATGGCCAGACCATAACTGTTCATCAGGGTGACGTTCCGACTGACTAAACCATTCTGCTATGCATCAAATCTCGAAAGTCTCATTCGGTGCTGGGATGATCGTAATCCAGACTGGGCCCCATCCGTTGATTATCCAATCGTCATCCATGGTCGCCCTGGTTCCAATAAAGTACTGGAAAGACATCTACAAACTCAATAAAAAAACAGGGAACGAATGGGAAAAACTCAAGAGCAATTGGCTAGATTGGAAAGTATGTTTGCTTTTCTTTCTGTTGTTCATATTCTCACCTCTTGCCTTCAGCATTTTATTGAAGCATATCAGGCATTCGAGACACCTGAAGCCTTCTGAGCCGAGTTTTCCGACTCTCAAGGACAGAGGCTGAAATTCTCTCGAATCAAAAAAATTCTTTTAGAGCGACGAACAGCCGCAAATCTCGAATTAGCAAAACAAGTGACAGCTGAGTATGGTGATGATTTTATCAATCACTTTGGTTATAAAAGGGGTAGGAAATTGGTTGCCATGAAGGATGGTCCAACAATTGCCCGACACTATAGGAAGAAGATGGGAATTAGTTGCAATGAGGATGTTTAGTTCACAGTTCATGTCAGTAGTTTTGGAATGCTACAATGTTTTTCTTATTTACTTTGTGACGTGAGATAACTACACAATTAAAATTAAGCACATGGACATGTTCGTCCACAGGTCCAGCATTTGACTACTTGGCGGTCAAGCTTGAAAAATTCATCACGACGAAGAGTCAGAGTGTCGTTTGATGAAATCAAATACTTGACAATTGTCATATGTGAAAAGTCCGAGCTCCAACCACCCCACTCACAGATTTGTCGAATTGACCAACGGAGATCACATGAGAACCACTGGCATCCACCACTGGCGAAAAGAATGTGTACCATAGGGATATGGTGTGATACCCAAGTCCCACAGGTTATTCCGAAAGAGCTGCAGGAAGACCTCTGGTTTCTAACAAAGTTCCGAATGAGCATGGACCACTTGCGTATAGAACCCATACCTTACCATTGCGGTGTTCTTGGCAGTGTTGGGACGGTCACGTTTATCGATGTTGGGGAAAAGATTCCCTTTGTTAATCCTTGAGGTGCCAATCCATGTGGCGAGAGCTTCGAACAGGACAGAGATGCGCCATATGTTCTGGCAGTTCTCGTAATACAAACGGAGGTATGTCTGTTATCCCAAACAAGTCAGCAGGCAATGGCACTGTAGCAGCAAAATGCACTTACCACCAAATTGCGCGTTTTTATGAAAAGGAAGGGTGATCGAAACACAGGCAGTGTTATCAACTTCATCATTGTAGAGATCAACCTCGTGGGCCTGAATGTTCAACACCTCATCAATGCAGAGTAAGCATGTAAACACTACGAGGTAGATGGCCTGGAGCAATCGCCGCATGTTTCCTCTGCACCAGTTTCCCTGGGACAGGTGATTGTTATCCCAGTTTTCGTGCTTATGATTATGCACATAGAGCTGCTTCAGAATACCCTAGAAAGTAAAAGATGTAATGAGTTTTTGACAACAGAAACAGAGACATACAGGACCAATGGCTCGAGCACTAGTTGAAGTTTCGCCTTTGGCGACCTGTGTTTCTCATCAGCCTACATATATTACTGATGAGTTTCACAGCGTACCTTGTGTTTGTGCAGACCCAACATGTATGAGGACACGAGATCAGAGATCGACGGGTTTCCAAGCGCCGTTGCTCTGTTCCAAGGTACCTTACCTCGACGACCAGTCTTATGGAAGCCATAGGTGGTGCCTGCCCTAAGCTTTTGAGCATGTGAGTAGCTCCTCTGTGCGTCGTCAGGCCCTTTGCTTGTGCCATGCATATCAATATCATCACACCTCATCAAGTCAGGTAGACATGATATGGACTGAATGCTCAGGCGTACTTTTTCATAATAAATCCTACGATGTAGCAGTCAATATTCGGGTCAAGCTTCTGCAGATTGAATATATTAGTGCCTGGCTGGATGATGTTCTTCTTAATGAGGAAGTTATTAAAGGCCGTCATGACCCTGTGTAAGTGTTGAACGTTAGAATAATGCAGGGTATCAGAAACTGAGGATAATAGTTGACCTTTTATATGCAGCGTCAGTGCCTTCTGTGACACCCTTTGATGCTTCGCTAATATTGGCTAAAACCTCCTCAACATCGTCCGATGCACTCAGGTCCATCTGCATATTACCATCGTACTCATTGGACACACCGCAACTCTCCTGCTCACCCTCAATGTCGTCTATGATCTCTAAATCTGAGGATAGGGTTTCTAGGACCTTGCGAATTCCTAGCGCATTTGTGATATCATTGGTCGTGTTCATGTCCATATGATACTGAGAGGAAGAGAGAACAGTGAGTCAAGCGATAAAGTCCATGATATGCTATCTATATATATGAAAAAAAGAGGGGTAGGTGCTCCTATTTAGAATCCATTCTCGTCATCTGTGCATAGCTCCAGGATCTCCCCTTTCGCTGTATAGCGAACTTCGATTCGGTACTTTGGAGATGAGTTACGTTTCTGGCGCTTTATTGGAGTGGCTTCTTTAAAAAAAAACTGTAAGAAACAGGCCATACATGGCATTGAAATGAGCCCTGCCTGTCATTTCCTCGCCACTCTCGTCACTAGATATCTCTAAGACCGGGTAAGACCTGTTCTGTTCTGCTGAGCCTTGACTGGTGTTTCGTAGATTGGCAGAAGTCGAAGCTAGGGCATCATAAAAGTTATTGTAAGAGAGATTTGACAGGCAGGGATACTTGACATACCAACGGGCTGAGCGAGGCTTGGCTCTGCTTCGATGAGCCTCATTTTCTTGATACTTGGTTCAACCATCTTATGTTTTTTGCCAGCTTTGAGGGTCTGATGTTGTGTATCATCCAAGATGTTCGGCCTGTGCATGAAGGGCCAATACATGAGAGAGCCATGCATGAACTTGGGGTTTCTTCACAAACTGATCGTACTCGTCTGACGTGGTATTGGTATTGTATGTCCCATCAATCGCAGAGGTGATCTGAGTTAGGATTTCACTGGGAATGATGAGAGATACATATAACTCTGAATGTGATCGTTCACGTTGATTCGCACGTACAGCATGTACTTTGGAAACTATAGCATGCTGGGAGATATGAGTGTCGTCATCTTTCAATAGTCCCCGTCGTTTACATAGATCTTGAAGCAGGTCATGGGTGGCTAATCCTGGGAAGACATGATCACGGAAATTGCAGGATGATGCCCATCGAATGTCCCCAAACAAAGAGCTCCTCACATAGCTTTGCGAGTTGGGATATGTCCGGTTGACGCAGCGATGGAGCGGCAGGTAGATTACCCACCCCATTGGATTGGGATGTCACTGGGTGAATATATTGGATGAGAACCAACACCTTTGGGAAGTCAAGCGGGATACGTGAAGCTAGCGAACGCTGCCGAGAATGAAGATGGCCAGCCCCCTGCTTTTCCAATGCCGTGCAAAGGTCCCGACGCCATGCGGAGGCAACAGCAGCATAATCATCAACTTCGGATGCTTCAAGGGCATCAAACAGCCATGTTCTCCAACACTTGACTTTGCGATATTAGCTGCAGTTTGGATGCCACATCCTTGAATTCCATCCTATCACATAAGAATGAGTCTATATCAACTGAAAACATTGCGTAACTTACATCATAATCACCCCCTGCGAGTAACGCGAATCATTACAAGATTGTTGCAGGAGAACTGGGATCCGGCCTCATGAACCTCAATCAGATATTTGGAGTCGCTTTCCTCTTTGCTAATGAATATGTTTAAAAATCACACTGATAAAATGTAACTGTTGCTCTCACATCCGAATCACTTGCTGAGCACCAAATAGCATGGTATCAAAGTCCTCTGACATCACAGCATCAATCCGGCCAAGGCGCGAGAGCATCACAAGCTCGGCCTCTGCTTCACCTGGAGCCTGTGTTTCATGTCAGGAAGAGAAAAGAAAAGAAAAGAACAGGCCGTACGTCCCAATAGGAGAACCCAAATCCTTCCAGCAGTCGCTTGAAATCATTGGTTAACCAGATTGGCATCTTCTTCACAATCTTTTTACGCTTATAAGTAGGGCGGTGTGGGCCATTGAACACGAATAAAGGTATGACCGGGAGATGAAATAGGCGTCCTAGTCATTTGAAAAGTGACGCTTGGGCTGGACTCTTCGTCTGCCCATGATGGAACGTCACTGCAGACATCCATCCACTAGAAAGAGGTAATACTAGTTAGACTTGATATGTATAATACACTAGATATAGCTACCTAGCATCTACGCCTATACGTGGAATGAACTCATGTACAGCGCTGGTGGATATCTTCTGGGAAGACCAGTCGACGAATGATACAGAGCTTGTAGGGTTCAGAAGCTGCAAAGGAAGATGTTAGAACTAGCATACAAATCACAGGAGAAAAATAAACAAACATCCCAGCCGCCTTTGACACCCATGGTAAGAGGAAGAGGCTGCTATAGGGGTTGTCTGAGAGCCGACTACTTGCTGACAAAAGATGATGGCAGAAAAAGCAGCATGAATATAATATCTGGAAATACAAGGCAACCTTGAGAGTTCTAAATCTGCGCAGTACATAGTATCATAGTCTGAGGCGCATCATCAAGCCCAGCTGCAGGAATCCATCACGGCACTCATGGGACAGCTAGGAGACCAGTTGTGCAAACCAACCATAGGTCGGAAAGGGCAATCACAACTGGGGTTTATGGTGGGTAAAGTATATCCATACGTGAAGTTTAGGTATATGCAGACGAGCAGTTATGACGTACTTGCACCTCCCGAATCCCAATTTTTGGAGGTGCAAGTACGACATTTAGGGCAGCAGTCTAGCCTGGATGAATGTGGTGTCAACAAGTTTGGCGGGATCAGAAGAGATCACCCACGGTTGGAAGAATATCGTGACGTTCAGGATAAGCAAAGCCAACAGTGTTGGAACTGACTGTCCCATCCAAGGATGATCGCAAGATACCAGGAGATTTGTCTGTATCAATGGAGATTCAACAATAAAGTACGTGCTTTGCGGCGGTATCAATGCTCCTATGATTCGCTACGAAACACACTTTCGAACGCTATCCCGAATTCCACGAATAGTAGTGATGGTCTATATTAGAAGAGTCAGATACGTATTCAATTCTAGACCTGATGTCAAACAATTTACCTCGTAGTAAACTTTTGAAACATCTACTCGGACGCGTTTATTGCATAATCCCAGCTTGCGACGAGTTTGGCTTGAAGGGCCATCACTCCGGCAAAGACAGTAGTAATAGCACACCCAGCGAGTGTCATCTGCCACCCGCGTACCAACACCCATAGAAACTCTACAGTGAGCATGGCACTGACCACAACAAACTGTGCAATGGCGATAACAATAAGCGTCCACGCGTCGTCCCCATCCTTCATTTAAAATTGCACTGAGCAGCACTGTTCTCGGACTTGTCAAACCACTTCTTGTCCTGCTTCAAGATGGTGCGGAATGCGAGTCTCCATGATAAAGTATTTCAAGCCCATGAGAAGACCATCAACAGCTGCGATGCTGAGAACGATGGCGCCGAAGGTGTTGATGACAGAGGTGTTCTGGGCTTCATTAGAAACCTCAAAGAAAAGTCGAGAAAGGACGAAGGAGAAAATGGGGGTGACAGTACCGCCGCTCAGCAAGCAAATGATCAGAGCAAATACGACGAGTGGCTTGTAGGGTACAGTCAGATAGACGTCCCTCATTAAACCCCAAAATGAATGGGGTCATCATTGTTGGGAGACAACTGTAGACTCTTTTCAGATGATGAAGACAAATTCTTCTCCACCTTGGTATCCGTGACCGAATCCAGTAACTCGTGAATGTCAGCAAGAGTCAGCTCTGCGTCGGTTCATGCGAGACGGTCTAGTCGACCTCCGTCTCGTCACAGCACAATTATCCTTCTTGATCAACAAAGAAGTTGCGGAATGGTGAGAGAATGCTGGCGAGGTTAGTGTGAATTGAAGGCTGTATCGGCCGTGTATGGGTAGTGAGAGTCTGAGAAGGGGGCGGCGGAAATGCGGGGATAACCTGAACGCTGGAAGGTTGTCGTCATCTCTCTGAGTGCTGGGCTGTGAATGTGTCGGCAAGAATAAAGTGACTAAGTTGTTGAGACTCTCAAGACCGAACGACAGCGGGACAAAAAGGCGTAGGCCTGCTGCTTTTCAACATCAAGTCCGCCACCACGTCGAACATCCAGTGACCAAGGATGGCACTATTTGGCACCAGGATGGTTGGAATGTATGAGAACGGTTGAGAGACTGAGTCTTTTTCCTCATCCCCCTCCGTTGTTACCAATTCTGGGTGCTCTGTATCGTCGATTGTTGACACATCTGCAACCGCTTGGGAGCCCATCATTGCCTTGAATTCACCTTCAGATCGCTCAAGGTCAGCACGATAGCCTTGCTCGATGACGGTACCGTTCTTCAAGACATAGACAAAGTCCTTCGACGTGATCTGCGACAGATCATGAGTGATGACAATGGTGGTTCGGGTTTCCTGCTATTGCTTGATAGCCTCGAACACCAAGATGCGAGAAGTAGGATCCAAGGCAGAAGTAGCTTCATCTGGTAATAAAGATAAGAACACGATAGGGTTCGAATGTTTGGGTAAAAGCTCACCAAGAATTAATACAGAAGGATTCCTTAATCGTGCTTGCGCAATAGCTAGCCTTTGCTTCTGACCACCGCTCAAGTTCGCACCTCCATTGCCTAGCTTCGTCTCATATCCGTCGGGTAAATCGCGGATGAAATCAGGAATCATAGCGGCCTGGCAAGCCTGCACGACTTCTGCCCTCGTCGCGTGTTCCGGCTTTCTCCCAGTTTCACTTCTGGCAAGTCCCATGGCAACATTGTCATGAACACTTATGTCAGATAGGATACAGTTTTGGGAAATGACAGATGTGTTCAGTCGTCCAGTTGTCGTCCAAATAGGCAATATCTTGGTCATCGAGCTCTATCTGCCCGCTCCGAGGCTTATACAACCGAAGGAGAAGTGACACAATGGTCGACTTTCCAGGTCCAGAGCTCCCTACAACAAAAGTGGTTTCTGAAGCGGGAAGAGCGGGAAGATAGATGGAGACGTCTCGCAGGACCAGTATGGAAGGTCGGGAGGGATACGTGAAGGTGACGTTATGGAGTGCTATCTTGCCATGACACTTGGACGGTATGATTTTGGGCAAATGCGTCGACCTTACTGGGTGGCCATGAAAGATCGATGCACAGGAATAATACGATGGAGATACGGGAGTCAGAGCACCTGCCTCTTCCGAGTCAGCAAGCGCGAGCAAGGCCACCATGGCAAATTTCCCCTTCGTCAACGTGATGAACTTGGGAATGCACATCTGCAGATTACTTGTAGCGATGAGGCAAGTCCAAAATACGGCCATAACATCCCCTGGTTCCACTTTGCTTTGTTTGACCAGCTTCGACCCAAACCAAAAGGCTTGCATGAACACGGACATCATGACAAATTGCGACAGGCCTGATGTAAGACCCCAGACTGCAATGAGTTTTTTGTCGGCAACCTTGACGTGGTCGAGAACGGTGCTTAGAGAGTCGCGTTCCTGAGATGCTGCATTGAACACTTTGACAGTAGCAACTGCAGACACAGCGCGGTCAATAAGCGTGGCTGCGACGGATTCTTGGGATCGTTCGATGGAAAGGAGAGGACCGGCTACCGCCTGGGAGGAGGCTTGTACTAAAACCAGAGCGGGGACAGAGGCGAGGATGACGAGGGTGAGTGCCCAGGAATGGCAAGAACAAGGCAATACACACTGGCTGCCTGTTCAGTAAGTCTGAAAATTTATAATTGACAGCAGATTTAAAAGAAACTTACCGTAGACCGACCAGGAGACAACACTCGTGGTGTGTACCACCGGCAAAACATGCCAAGTGGTACTGCTGACACAAGAGTATCAGTCCCAGCAGGATACAAGCACGCGCGAGTCATCGATAGACACGCACGCTTGACAAGGGAGCAAAATCGATGAGACTGAGAAAAGAGAAGGATTATCCCAGCAAAAGACGCTAAGGATAGCGGCCGATGGCATCGTCAAGCCCATGGTCCGACGACGAAAGACGTCAAACAGACAAGCCGACCCAAGAGGGTCAAGCCAGTGGGTGAGCAGTGGAGGAGAGCAGGCCAAATGCCTAAGTGCCACGTCGTGGCACTTAGTCAGCCACAGCCACCGAGGCCAAGCGCCAAGGTACCAATTAAGCACGTCCGGCTCACCGGTACGCGCCAATTAAGCGCTGTGTGGCATTTAGTCAGCCACAGCCACCAACGCGAAGTGCCCAGGGGTACCAATTAAGCGCGTCCGGCTCACCGGCACGCCTCTCTGATGGCCCGTGCGTTAGACGCATCAATCAAGCGCTGCGTGCCCTTGTCTCCCATGCTCACTGCTCACTCTCATGCTCACCACTCACCACTAATTCTCTCTCGCTTTCGCTCACTCTCCCACCTCAAGTCTCGGCCATCAATCTACACACAAAGGTGAGTACAACCACCTAGTTAATTTCTGAGGGTTGACACAAATGTGTCGCCTATCTCATTTGACGTCTTTCGTCGATGAGATTTTTTATATATGTTCTTCTCTTCTGGTGGATTCATCACGGTTGACACGAATGTGTCGCTACTCCCGTTTGACGTCCTTCGTCGGCGGATCATGTGAGTCGCGATTAACACCGATGGTGTTGTCGCTGTGGCGTGACATCTTTCATCGGCAATCCTATGTGCCCTCCGCTTTGCCTCAACGCTGGACGAACCTCAGTGGCCCACGGGTGTCCTAATGGCTGTAGACAATCTTCAATCTTCGTCGCCTGTGTTGTCTCCAGCCACCATTGCCGACAGAATCTCAACGTTCACAGGATAAACCATGCTGCCGGTCAACTGGATGCCTTCCAAAGTTCGCAGGGATCCGAGATTGCTCTTGCACAAGGCAAATCCCACTTTTCGTACGTTCATTGACATAGCTTGTGACTGGTCATATATTAACAACTATGCTAGCTTTGGGTCCTTTTGACGGCAAGAACGGTATCATCTTGGATGGTTCCGACTCCTTCATAGTCACCCCAAACTCCTATATCATCTGCAGGCCTCCCCTTGGGGTGAACCGGGAGGTATACATGCGGGAAAACTTTCGATATGGCCAGGACGACCCGCTCCAATGGCCACAGGCCTACGTCGAGCAGTTTCCTCATCTGGCTTGCATACGCTGGATAGCTCCTGCCTCTCCAAACGATCCCTTCCATCCGCTGTATCGCGGCTTGACAAAGTACGATTTTGTTGAGTGTGACCCAGACAGTCTCGTGGAGGGAGTTGGTCATCTGCGTTACTCGACATTTCTCAAAATTCAAGCCGCTTGCAAAGTCGTCATTGAGTCGATGAACTCAGTCGATGGCAGCGCACCTGTGTCCCGTAGCATGCGTGGACACCTGAATGTCATTGAGTTGCTTCTCGGGCGTCTGCATGCTCTACCAACATCCTTCCTACGCGTCTGCTTGACGTTCGCAGAAACTCAGTGTGTGGCCCTGGAACTTAGGGCCTTTGTCGAGTACATGACCGTGTTCAAGCCCCTCATGGACTCTCCCGAGACCGACGTGCCTGCCATGCCTGTTGATGAGAGTCTTGTGGGTGCATACATCCAGGATGCAACAGTTCTCCAGAGATTTTTCAAGGCGGGAATACCAGTCTGGCGCATTGTGGACATGAAGAACCTCCCAGGTACCCGTGTGGATTCCCTCACTGAATTTGCGACCTCGCCATGGCCGCAGGGTCCTTGCACGCTGCGATTGCCCTCTGTCTTTGTAGGGTCGTCGAGAGATCCATGGAAATACTCGAAGATTCAAGAGCACGTGTTGCACTCTTGTCGACGGATCGATCCATTTGCATTGGCGTCCCCCATCATCCTGGGTCGTCCGGATGTTCCTCTCACTGCGGCATCGTCATCGACATCTCGATATTCTCCGTGTGGGTGTTTCTCTCTGTTTTGGTTTTTAAAGTGGACGTTAACGTGTTTAATAGATCATAAAAATGCGCGACCACAGTCTGGGAAACCTCATCAGCTGATGGACCCTCAACACCCTCTACTTCCGCTATTGATTGAGCCGTGGCGTCGTGGACTACTGGCCGTGGATGCGAATCCTTCTCGCTGTCATTCCTCTGGTCGTCCACAGCCAACCGCGATTCCAAGGGAATCGCAATACGCCTTCCCTAGGCCAGATATCATTGCCACTGTGAATACGGAGGAAAAAGTCAACTCCTTTCTGATTTCTTGGTTGCGTCTGCAAACACCTTTGTTCGCACGTCTCACGGTAACAGAGCGGGTACCTCCAAACTTGTATCATCAAGAGTGGCGGACCGTGTTGGCGCTGGGATTTCTGCATTCGGCGGGAGAGAGTGGTGGGCTAGCAACGAGATGGCGGCAGGAGGTGACAAAGATCATGGAAGGCTATGCAGAATTCCCTCTCCATGTGGATAACAACGCGTCAACGGCGTTTTGGCGAGGAAAGGCATATGAGACCCTTACAAGGGAGGAGCGTATGGAGATATGCTGGGAACTGTCAGAGGTGAATTTCCGCTGTGAGTTCAGAGCGCTGCATCGACAAGCCACAGTGAACGCAAGTGACGGCATACGAGCACTGGATGTCTTCCATTGCTTTCCTGATGGACGGCAACTACCAGGACAAATCGATGTCGGCTCTGCGAATTATGGCCTCGCCCATCATTTATGGCTGCAACGAGCCCCGTACATATTCGCAATGAAGAAGCTGATGAAGACGTGGGATGGGAATCATCCAGCATTCCTGGATGTGGTAAAATCCACTGGTTGGACCGAGGATGAGTTTTTGAGCATTGAAAATTCTATTGCGGCTCATTATTGTGATATGTTCTTCTTGTATTTTGGCCGCGCACCTGTTCTTCCTCGCCAATTGGCTCACCAGACCTCGGAGTCGTACGTCCCAGAACCTCGCGACCGGGTTGCGACAACCCGGTCAGGTGTTTATTTAGATATTGAGGACTTGGTTTGAGCCTTGAAAGGGACATTGAATAAAATATATACGTTTCTCTCCGTTGTATTTCAAGTTTGATGTACGGGCATTCAGTAGTAAATAAACATTGACATTGTGACATTGATAAAGACAACTGAACTAAGGTGGCGAACATGAAAAAGAATTTGCCACTGTAAGGCAGCGGAAGCTACATGGCCGAAATATAATACAATACGACATTGACACGAGGCTGGGCTGAACGTCTTGCGAGGTTGTAGTGAACATCATTTTTCAGGCTCGAGAAAACTTCCAAACTTTTTTGGCAGGGACTGACGGTGGTTTGGAAGCATCAGGAAGTGCACATAAAGACATTTCAAGGTACGGTCCGAGAAAATCAAAGACGTTTTGGCTCTATCAAAGACGTTTACCTTTATTTTTTGAAATAAGAAGAATATGGCAGATCCCCTAGATACAGATACATATCCCTGACCTCGGTCTTGGTTTGGTTTGATGTATAATCGCGTCACTTCACATTTCACATTCATTTACACAACAACATGATGCGCTACATACGGCAGATCCCCACACATCCCTGACTGACCTCTTTGGTCCTTCTCTTCTCGATGTATTTTGTATTGTATAAAAAGAGGTTTGGCTTCGCGTCACTTCGTTCATTCGCTTTCCTACCCATCACTATCAATTTCATTCATGGCTCCTCCAGTTGCTTACAGTTTGTGAGTTTCTTTTCTTTCCTCTCTTTTTTCTTTCTCTCGTCTCGTCTCGTCTCCGTCTCTCGGTCTTGGTCTCCCCATTAAATTACATTAGTTCAGTTTCAGTACACGTCCTTTTTCTTCCTTCTATCCTATCCTTTTTTTTCTTTTTTCTTCCTTTCTTTCTCTCTCGTCGGTCTCAGTTCAGTCAGTACACGTCCTTTTTCCTTTTTTCCTCCGCTCTTTCGCGCCTCCTCTTCCTTCATTCGATCGCGTCGCGGTCGGTTGGGTGTGCTGTCTTTCTTTTGGGTCCGCCGTCGTGTCTCGCCGCGGGAGCGTTCACCTTGGCGTGTCTCGGCCGACTCGGCTCGGCTGTTTGCCTTCCCTCTCGTCCCTGGTCACACTCGGTCACAGGTGACAGAACGTCGTGATCCGCCGTGTAAAACGGCTTCTCAGATTTCATGGGCGAGTGTGTCAGTCCCTGTGTTTCAGCATGACCTCATCTTAGCGTTATGTGCTTGTTGCGTACCCTTCATGAAAATTTGGCACGTTATCAGCAGGTCAAACCAACTGTGCGGCTGTGAAGTGGATGAATATCGGTTGCGCTCTCTCATGCGATTTACAAGGAGGCGCCTTCCTTGAGCGCTCAAATTCAGCTTATCTTTGTATCATCATAGACTCGACAGAGTGGCTATTCCGAGCCGAGTGAGTTCAACAAGTGCGAATTCCTCGAGGAACGAATACTTACATGCCTTGACGTCCCGTTCTGCTTACAGAATACTGTGGAGACACAGCTCATGTCTTGTGATAAGTATTTATTTGACTCTCGAATACTGGAATGTTAACGTTTTAGCAGAAGAAAAGAAAGATCAGGGACTCGGCATACATAACTACTCCATCGATACCGAAAGGGACGTGTTAACGACAGACAATTATCCCTCCCGGACATCGATCCACAGGAGCCCTTCAGTAGTAATCGTCCTTTAATTTGATCGCCGTTTACGAGGTATTGACGACGGCGACTTGGCATGAAGCACGAGTTCGCACTGTAGGAATATGCCAGCGAAGCGCTGAACAATATAGAGTGTCAAGGTCGTTGAAGTTGAAAACCCTCAGAAAGATAGATAGACGGCGGAAAGCCGGATGCGTACGAGTGACTCTGAGAAGTGTTCAATGCCAGGAAAATCCCGGTCCGAAAAGAAACCGGGTGTTGAAATTGAAACCTAACCCCTTCACCATCACTCGTCGCTCCCTCTACATTGCATTTATAACTATCCGTTGATCTCAGACACAATCCCTGAGGACGGACTGGGAACTGTTGCAAGCCATCGCGGATCAAGTAGTGGTATTTGACGAGGATA